TTAGCTTTCCTTCCCTCTAGAAGCTTACTCTAGGTCTAGTTTGGGGGAATTGGTACTGACATATGGTATAATTAGTAAACAGTAGAAGATAAAAAGCACCTGCACAAGTCTATAAGCTCTGCAAGTTTAGAGCTGTCTCAGTCGACTTTGCTCTTTGAGGCAGATACCCCATCTTAAACATCTTTGAATCTTCCAAAGTTGTAAAGAAATGTTTGGATTCTTATTAACTTGTTAAACTCCAATCAAAAGGAGGTATCATGAGATATGTAAGCTATAATAAGATATACATATCCATTGCTTATGTCTCACCAGGGAATATTATTGTGTTGCTGCTTTTTAAAAATCAAGAACTTTCCTTATCCGCACCTTCATTATAGGAAGAATAAACTATTTGTCGGCTAGTTAGAAATTCAGGAAAATGTAAAAAATGCCCACCGTTCAAAGATGGGCACTGTTAACATTTTGGAATACTTTCCGGTCTTTTTAATGTATACTTTTTTCTATATATATGTATGTACTCATAAATACATTAGCACAGTTGGTGAATAATGTGAATTAGTTTTATATCCCATTTTTATTGTTTTCAGTTAACAAATGTAGTACTGTCACACAGTATATAGCACAGCATTTCCTCATGTCATTATAGATTATTGAAGGTGTTGTAATGGCCGCCTAATATTCCATCATCGATAAGCCACAGTTTTAATGCATCCTATTATTTTTGGACTTTAGGTTTTCAGGTTTTCATTTTACTCATAGCAGTATGATAAGCATCTTTATGAAACTCTTCAAATCTTACTATTTTCTTAAGACAGAAGTCTAGAAGTGGAGTCCAATGCAAGGACAAAGGCGTGGACATTTTTCATGAAACAGTCCAGTGTGTGTCAGCCTGCTTTATAGGCAGGCGTTATGTGTTCATGCTGCATTAGCAGTGAGCAAAGCTTCCAACGGCATCCTGTTGCCCCAGCAAGAAATAAGATTGAAAAAGTCTTTTTGTTAAATTGGTAGGTGGAAAATCACTTAATTTCTTAAAATTTATATTTCTTTATTAGTAAGGTTGAATAGTTTTTCAAAAATGTGTTGGCCATTTGTTTTTCATGTTCTTTACTCAAAAAATGTTTATTCAGATCAAGTGGTTTTTCAATTTTTTTCCTTTGCTCTATTTTTAAATGTTCTTTATATACCAAGAACATTTATCCTTCACTGTAATATATGATACAAATATATTCTTCTGTTTCGTGTTTTTGCCTCTACTTGGTTTTGGTGTTTTTAGATGTATAAAAGCATAAAATCTGTATACTAAATCAAATTCTACAGTTTCCTTGGTGGCTTCTGTCTTTGATTAAAAATTTTATTTCTGGCTTAGCAAATGTTTTCCTATTCCACATCAGATAGTGTGAACATATCCTTATAGTTTTGTAAGGTTTTGCAGCAAAAACCTTACTTTAAAAGCATCTAAATCATCTTTAAAACATTTGGGATTTATTTCGATGTACAGTATAAGGCAAAGTGCTATTTGGGTTCTTTTCTCAGTAATGCTTGTTTTGTAATCCATTTCTTCCCCATTGGCCTGGATTTCTGATTCCTATATACACAGTATCTGTATGGTCCTACCTAGTCTGTACCCAGTAACGCTCCAAAAATGTTCTTTGCTTTCATGTTTTAAATATTTGGTAGATCAAACGTATTCATTCTTAAAAAAAGAAATAGCTTTTCCCATCTCATTTGTGTGTGTGGATAAAATTTAGACCCATATTTCCAATTCCCTACAAAACTATCCTGTTGGTACTTTAATTATAAATATATTAGCCTATGAATGAATCTGAGAAGGATTGATATTTTTTAGTATTTGGGTTTTTTTTTTTTTTTTTAATGGATGAGTTGATTGTACCCTGAAGTACAATCAGAATCTACATGGTGTTTCTTAAAGGCAATGACCTGTGGTCTCCAAGAGATGTTGACAGCCACCTAATGACGTCGAGTAAGATAATCCAGTGTGTGCTGGAAGTAGCGATGGGGAAAGGAAGAATCTGCCTTTTAGATGTTTGATTTTATTCAGCTGGTATTTATTGATGGCCTACCACGTGCCAGGCTTCTGCCAGACTGACCTTGAAAAGGTGAGGAAGGCATAGTCCTTGCTCCGAAGGTCTAGACTTGGCTAGGAACGAAGCACATATAAGGTGCGGGTTGAGCATCCTAATCCAAAAATCTGAAATGAAAAATGCTCCAAAATCCGAACAGTTTTGAGTGCTGATACAACATTCAAGTGAAATGCTCATATTGGAGAATTTCAGATTTCAGACTTTAAAAGTCTGATTAGAGATGCTCAACTGGTAAGTATAATGCAAATATTCCAAAAGCCAAGAAGGTCCGAAATCCAAAACACTTATGGTCCAGGTATTTTGGATAAGGACTACTTATCCTGTAAAAGGATAGCTTGGAGTAGCGTGTGAGGAGATGGTAGGACAGGGTCCCAGGGAGGTTTCACAGGACAGGAGGGGCTTTCTGACAAGTCTCAAGGAAGAGAGGATGTTTGCTGAGTAGACAGGCTGGGAAAGAAGAGATGTCTTGCACACTGAGAAGCGAACTGATGTGATTTGTGGCATAACTAACTGCAGGTCATCCAGTGTGCTTGAAACTAAGGTGAAAGTTGTCAGGGGCTGGGATGGAAAGGCCTAGAGTCGGTCCAGGAGGCGCTCCCAGCCTGCAGAGGCTGGCTATTGTAGCTGGCCCCTCTGGAGCACAAGCTTCTCTGTGAAACCAGGTTTGTTTTATTTTCCCCCAAGACTTTGTTGCAGACTGATAGTTTATAAAATGTAATGCAATAATTAGAAAATAACTGAAAACTACAGCCCTCTAATTGCTTTAATATTAAGATTAGAGAGACATAAAATTAGTCTGACAAATTGCTATAGAAGTTTTAAATATTCATTCTTAGTTTCTGTATCTAGCTTTTGGGGACTAGGAACACCTCGTGCTCGAACCCCTCTGGATCACACTTGGGTAGCACTGTGCTAGCCTCCCGGATCAGCGGGAAAGACGTGGTGGCTGTTGGCTGGGAATATTACAACAGTCAAGGTAGAGCTGTGAGACAGTGTCCATGAAAATGGTTGCCACCCGGAGCCTGAGAACTGTTATTGTAAATGATGCTGAGTCACTAAAGGGAAGTTACCAAATATTTGATTCATTTTCTACAATGGTATTGTTTGAATCATGTGCTTAAATCACTATTTAAAAAAAAAAAAAAAACCTCTTCATGTCAAAATAAGTGAATAAAACAAAATATCTTAAGGCAGGGTTTTGTTTTTTTTTCCTTCCCAGATGAAAGCAATGGTTCTCAACCTTGACTGCATATTGGAATCACCTGGGACTTTAGAAGCTAATACTGCTGGTTCCCACCCCCTCAGATGAGTTTGGGTTGCAACCTCAGCATCAAGATTTTTAAAAGCTCCCCCCTGGTTCTAATGTGCAGTCACCTCTCTCCCATGTGGGATATTCTAATGATGGATAAAGTTTTCTGATTGAGAATTTATGTAAAAACATAGCACAGTAAGAGTACTCCAAAACTATCAGTTGAATTTAAATCTGATACCTGATATTGTTTGTTTTCAGTGCAATGATCTTGTGTATACTGGATGTTATGAGTTTTAAGTTTTCTTAAACCCTCCCCACCAAATACCATTAAGTATTTTAATTACAATTGATAGGATACATATCTTTCACTATAGCATATTACATGTAATATAGCATCAATAAATATTCTTATAAATGAAAGCCTGTGAAATCTTGATTCCCCTTTTACTTACTTCCCTGATGTCACCCCAGTGATTACTGTTGGAGCAATGACGGCAACAGTATTTGGATGTCATACGAATTTCCAAGTAAGTTTTTTTTTTTTTTTGAGATGGAGTCTTGTTCTGTCACCCAGGCTGGAGTGCAGTGGCACAATCTTGGCTCACTGCAGCCTCTGCCTCCCTGGTTCAAACAATTCTCCTGCCTCAGCCTCCCGAGTAGCTGGGATTACAGGCATATGTCACTACGCCCGGCTAATTTTTGTATTTTTAGTAGAGACAGGGTTTCACCATGTTGGCCAGGCTGTTCTCAAACTCCTGACCTCAAGCGATCTGCCTGTCTGAGCCTCCCAAAGTGCTGGGATTACAGGCATGAGCCACCGCATCCGGACTCTCAAGTAGGATTTCATTAGAACACCTTGCCATGAGTACGCCTAATAAATCCAATGCAACTATTGCTGGATTTTTAACATATAACTCCTTCAAATTATTTATTCAAATATTATTTTAGAATATTGAAAATATATTTTTAGAATATTCATTCAAACTAAACGTTTAGAGTTTTTTTTTTTCTATTTTGTTAACATATTCTTCATGTGCTGAAAACTGAACATTCAGTGGTTCACTCATTAAGTAAACAGTTTCTGGGCACCTAAACTTGGTTGTGGTAGGCACTGGGTAATGAAAGTTTAAGCCCCAAGTCCTAACAATAGCAAATAGTACAGCTAGCTGCATGCCACTAGCTTCTTATACACAGGTGGGTGTCATACATGGCAAATGAAAATAATTTTACCCTTTCCTTCTATAATTTGAAGTACATTTTCAATTTTTGATATTATAGCCTTATTTGCTTAAACACTCTTCCACCTCTTCTCCCCTCCTTGTCTCACACCGTTGCCCAGGCTGGAGTGCCGTGGCACGATCTTGGCTCGCTGCATCCTCCTCCTCCCAGGTTCAAACAATTCTCCCACCTCAGCCTCCTGAGTAGCTGGGATTACAGGTGCGCACTACTACGCCAGGCTAATTTTTGTATTTTTAGCAGAGACGGGGTTTCACCATGCTGGCCAGGCTGGTCTCGAACTCCTGACCTCAAGTGATCTGCCTGCTTCGACTGGGATTACAGGTGTGAACCACTGCACCCAGCCCCCTCGTTTTTTTGTTTTTTTGTTTTTTTTTTTAAATAAAGTTATAACATTAGGAGGGAAAAAACACTTTAAAAGTAGTTCTGTCAACTATTTTGGGGGCTGTGGGCCAGTCATTTAATCCATCTGAACCTCAGTTTCCTCTGCTGTGAAAGGGTGATACCCTCCCTGCCCTGTCCATCTCAGTTGTTATGGGGATTATGGAAAAAGTTATATGTAACGTTAACATAAGAAATTTAAATATCCAGCTAAAGTGTAAATGGACATTATAAAACAATCTTTAAAAGAAACAAAGAAACTGTATATATATGGCTTATGCATCACTAGCACTTCGGGTTTCTGAAGCCCCAACGTGAAATTTCACGAAAGTTGCATTCCATGGAAGTTTGCTTCCATGATGAATTTTTTACTTTGTACTCAGCTCCTGAAAAAGAAACTTCCTGGGTTTTCTTTTTTCCTCCTACGGTTTTGCAGCGGCCGGGCTGCTTCCTGTCAAGAGCCACTCTGCCAAGGCCCCGTCTCTAGAGTCTCTCCCCCTCCCCTTTCTCTTTCTTTCCAACACTTGCTACATTGAGAGGCTGATCCTGTGCAGAAGCCCTCCCTGCCTCTGCCGCGCGGCGCAGTGAGCATGCTCGGCCTTCTGCGGGAAGAGGAAGCGGCCGCATAGGAGTCATGCCAAGCATAGCCCGCATGTCAGCGCTGCCGGCTTGCAGCGGGCTGTGAGCGGGGCCGGCGCCGCTTTGTCCTAGGAAACGGGCTGCGCGTTTCTCTTTTTCACTCTTTTCCATTTCCAGGAAGGACTTGTAAGGACTTCTGAAACGCTCTTTTCATACTCCATCGGGGATACAGTACATACACCGTCTACCAGTAAGCCCTTGAAGGGTTTCGTGTGAGCTCGATTTTTTGTGCCTGGGTTTTTTTTTTTTTTTTTTAAACTTTTGCATACTTTGTTTTGATAGTCTGAGGCTGGGCCTCGGCCTTTGTGAAGTTGAAGAGCCAGGAGCTACTCAGCAACAATTCATTTTTGAAACTTAACTCTTTTGGGGGCGAAAGCAAAGAGCTGGTTTTCTTTGCTAGCCCAATAAATGCTATTTATGAAGATGGACCTGTTGAACTATCAGTACTTGGACAAGATGAACAACAATATCGGCATTCTGTGCTATGAAGGTAGATGTCCTGCTGTAGAATTACTGCCCGTTGCTCGTCCCGGCCACTCCTCCTCAGTGTGCTGGGTGCCTGCCTTCTAAGCCCTGCTGTCCTTCTCGGGGCTGTAGGGCGCTTGAAAGGCCGGCGTTTCTTAGATTCGGTTCGGCACCGAGTGTGTTCGAATCTCAGGCTGCGGGGGGCGGTGGGGGGGCTGGACGGGGAGGCGGTGAAGTAGAAACCCTTCAAAGTTTGTTTTATGCTTGCAACGTACTCGCGCCTTACATTTTTAACTCTTTAAAGTGTATGTCTTTTTGATTTCTGTTAATGTTGTCTTTAGGGGAAGGACTTGTAGGACGCCGGTAAAAGTTGAGCTTCTGTTTGGGGGAGGGGCTGGTAAGGATTGCACCGTCTACTGTACCCCGTTGTGGGCCACAGCGCCCTGCAGCTCACGGAGGGGGAGCCAAAGTTACAGCGAGTTTCTGTGCTCGCGAGTGAGTGTCCCAAACAGCGGAGAATGTCGCTCTCCTGCGTGGGGCTGGAAGGGCACCGTGTCAGCGAGCACAGGCCGGCTCTTTGTCTCGCTGGCGCTTCCTGTGCAGCCCGGGGAGCGCTGACACTGGGGAGTGTTCCTCGCGCTCTGCTCCCTGTGGGAGCGATTACACAACACCCCGACCCCCAGCCTACCCTGAAAAAGAGAACGCCGCGCTCAATTCTAATTTATTACCTCCTACTGCCCGCGAGGTGCTTCCCCCACTGTCTTGTATTTCAAGCTGTCTCTGGTAGCAGTAAGAGAAAAATCTATTTCTTAAGCGGTTGGAACATCCTCTACGTGCGATTTGAAAAAGTGGCAATGGCCTGGGTCTGCCGCCGAGAGGCATCTCCAGGGGAGTTCGGCCTGGCAGGAAGTGTATTTTTTGTTGTAACCACACACACATCCGGGACTCTTCTCTTTCTCATTCAGCAGAAGCAGTTTCCATTTTTTCTCCAATGATACACGGGACGTTTCTCTTGAAAAAGAAAACAGTTACAAAAACTTGGGAGGGTAATTCACTTGTAATTTTTAGTCTAAAAACTTCAGGCCTGTTTCCTAATCAGTTGAAAACTTACCCTTTCAAGAATATTTTTCCCCTTCAAGGAAAAAAAAAACCCTCATTCGTGTTGTTTTTTGAAACTATGGATAAGGATCTCATATTTAACGTTTCTTAAAAAGGATATTTGTTTTTCTTTACTCCTACTAGTTCTTGCTATGAGAATTTTGGTGAATTGCTTTCTTTGCATCTGATGTATTAAGTAACATCTTGCTTCTGAACTCACTTTAAAAAGGTAGACGACTTTAGAAAGCCATAAGCAGCCATTGCTGGGCTTGTTTCCTGTGACATTCACACATTGCAGTCAGGGTTTTGTTTTTGTTGTTTTTTTTAACCATCCTCCACTTCCCCCAACAAGAAAGAGAAACTTTTGAGGCAATTTCTGTTGTATTGTCTTTGCCAACAAGTAATATGATATTTAAAAAAAAAAACATAATGGCCTAAGAGAGAAATATAAGATTGTAGGGAAATTGATACCAGATACCAGATTAATTTTTCCTGTCTCCGATTGGTGAGGACCAGCTTATGGACAGCCAGCCCAGGACGAGTTGTTGTGTAGCATGCGACACACAGGAAACTAGAGTGCTCTGCTCTCTTCTCTTCTCTTCTCTTCTCTTCTCTTCTCTTCTCTTCTCTTCTCTTCTCTTCTCTTCTCCCTCGGTATTTGGGAGGAAGAAACTTTGATTTTGAAAGTTGAGTAGCTATATGGGATAATGGACTAAAGTCTGTTTGGTTTAAACATCTGCTCCTATTTTCCTTATTATGAGAGTTAACATTATTTTAACACCAGAATAAATACAGAGGAAATGAAGGAAAGCACAGCAAAATTTGAGTGGTGTTTATAGTGAATTGTTGATGTCCTAGTGGTTTTCTCAGTGTAAACACTGCACACATCTGGTCTGAACTCCAAGAGGGTGTTTTGAAGATGGGCATAAATCATACAGGGGATTTTTTCGTAAGAAACGTTGGAAAGATTATGGTTCTTTTAAATCCAACACTTGGACTTGGAGAATATTCGTTTTAAACGTATCAGCTCCCCAGCATTCCAGGGAAGTTGTTTGGAAAATGGAATGTACTGTTGGTAGGCAACATTTGATTTCATTTAGGGCACAGTCAAGTTTCATGCCCCTTAAGAATAAGGGACAAATTAATTTTTTGACATTTTAGTTTTAAAAATTAAGATGCGGATGGTTAATTATTCTTACCAGCTAAATTATACCATGTTCCTTAGTTGTATGAGACACAGCTCTACTCAAAACTAAACCATGTGTCTGGGGTTTTTTTTTTTTTTTTTGAGACGAAGTCTTACTTTTGTCCCCCAAGCTGGAGTGCAATGGCACGATCTCAGCTCACTGCAACCTCTGCCTCCCGGGTTCAAGTGATTCTCCTGCCTCAGCCTTCTGAGTAGCTGGGATTACAGGTGCCTGCCACTACGCCCGGCCCATTTTTGTATTTTTAGTAGAGATGGGTTTCACCATGTTGGCCAGGCTGGTTTCGAACTCCTGACCTCAGGTGATCCGCCCGCCTCAGCCTCCCAAAGTGCTGGAATTACAGGCGTGAGCCACTGCCCTCAGCCTGTGCCATCTTTCTTAAATCTCTCTTGTGACTTAATACGCAAATAGATCTTTTTAGCTGTTTACCAATAAAGCATACAAGGTCTTCCTTCCTGACTGACTCCATATTGCTTAGATGTGGACTCCCTCCTTGGTAACTGCTTCCTGGCTCCTGCCCTCCACCATAGTTGTCTGCAAGAATAATTGAAAAGAGAATAAAGGGAAAAAGTAACCACAATTAGCAGGTTTCGGGTGGGAGAAGGAGAAGTTAGGCAGAGGGCCGGAAGAATCGAGAATCGAAGTTTGGCTAACTTCTGGGAGCTAACTAATTACCTTCACTAATGATGAGCAGATTAGCAGAACTGTGCTTGTGCTAATGTGTTCAGAACCTCATGGCTTATTACTACCATACTCAGCAATTAACCACTGCATCATTCATCACCCCACTGAATGCCCAAATGATACCCACTTGAAGCCCAGTTTTGCCTCTGTCTCCATGAAAAGGTCATAGGCCAACCCCAGCCCTCATTTTTTTCCCCTCCTCTGAACACCTGAGAACACCTTGCTGAACTGGCGAAAGCCTCATGAAGGCAAAGCATTCTCTCTTGGTGACCGTTGCATCCCTGAATCCTAGCACAGGGTCTGAGTGGGCTCTCAGGAAGTGGCTGAGAATGAAGACTGACTCTAAAGAAATCAGCGCAATCTCTCAATGGCAGCTGTAGTTGCTACTGTATAATTTAACACTTGATTATATACTGCCTTGTATTCTCTAATTAATTATTGCAGAGCTATCCAGGGCCTCAGACATCATCTAATACCTTTGCCTTGTTTTCACCAAGGAAAGTGAGGCTCAGAGAGGTAAACTCTTTTTCAGAAAGTTTATTTAGAAAGTTTGTGGCAGGATTGAATTGAGTTTTGACTCTTCTATGAATCTCCTATGCCGTACTGCCTCTCCAGAATTATTTCATGTCTTTTTTTTTGAGACAGAGTCTTGCTCTGTTGCCCAGACTAGAGTGCAGTGGCGCCATCTCCACTCACTGCAACCTCTGCCTCCCAGGTTCTAGTGATTCTCCTGCCTCAGCCTCCCTAGTAGCTGGGATTACAGGTGCCCTGCACCATGACCAGATAATTTTTGTATTTTTAGTAGAGACGGGGTTTCACCATGTTGGCCAGGCTGGTCTCAAACTCCTGACCTCAGGTGATCTGCCCGCCTCGGCCTCCCAAAGTGCTAGGATTACAGGCGTGAGCCACTGCGCCCGGCTTATTTCATGTCTTATCTCCTCATTAGCTCCGTGATGTTAGGGTCATGCCCTGTCCTGGGTGCCCTCACGGCCTAGCACGGGGATAACACCCTGGATTACAGTGCACAGTCGAGCCTCTCCCGCTTCTCCTTGCTCTGAGACCAGTTGCTGGTCCAAATTCCCAGGCTGTTGTGATGTTGGGGAAAGGGTAGGTGAGACACCTCTGAGTGACCAGCCTCGCTGGAAGGTGCTCTTTGTGCTGCTCTGGCACTGGTCTTGCTTTCCTTTTGTCTGCCTGTGCAGAGGAGGAGGCCTCCGTGGATGCCAGCCCCAGAGCCGGTCCCCAGGGAGCAGGGACAGGGATAGGGACAGGTTAGACTATGGGCTTTCCTCAAGATGGCTGTTGCTGCACTGACATCATCCCTGGGGCTGAGACCTGGGCTTGCCAAACGTGCCCTGGCTGGCTGGGGCTTTACACTGCTGGTAGCGATACTTTAATTATGGGTTAAGAGCCATTAGTGTGTAATTTGGTGGAAGAATTCTCTCCTTTTAATTTAATAGCGTGATTTATATTGGGAGAAAGTAGGAATACATTGCATCTGTGATCCTCTCAAAGCTTAAGAGCGAATTATTCCAACTTCACGTTTTAGAACGGTTCATTGTTTTAGACACAGTTACTCCTTGTTTCATCACAGGCAACTTTTAAATTAATTTTCTGGAATGGAAGGGAAGAGGCACATTGGAGAGTTGCTGAGTTCAGGGAGACCCTGTGATCTTTTGTTTTCCGCCAGTCTAACCACCAGTGGTTGAGTGGAGTCCTGGCTTCATTGTTCTTTGTCTAATGAGCTCAGGCATCAGGAAACTTAGGAGGCTTGGGTAGGTGAAAAGGCCACAGCACAGGGCCATTTCATACCCTCTCCTGGTCCCCAGCCCTGCATATCAAGTGACGAGCTCTTGATCTGGGATGTGTTCTGAGGTAGAACATCTGTAACTGTTTTGCTGTGGAAAATCATTTTACTTTAGCTTTTTACTTGCAGGAAAGGGTAGGCAGTGGGGATGGGTGGGGGCTAGGGAGGAAGAGGGAGACAGAGAGAGAAAGAAACTAGGAGGAGCTTGAGTAGTAAAACATGCCCAGGTGA